GCATAGTCAATAAAGCAGAAATAGATGTTTTTCTGGAACTCTCTTGCTTTTTCGATAATCTGGCAGATGTTGGCAATTTGATATCTGGTTCCTCTGCCTTTTCTAAAACCAGCTTGAACATCTGGATGTTCACGGTTCACATATTGCTGATGCCTGGCTTGGAGAATTTTGAGCATTACTTTACTAGTGTGTGAGATGAGTGCAATTATGTGGTAGTTTGAGCATTTTTTGGCATTGCCTTGCTTTGGGATTGAAATGAAAACTGACCTTTTCCAGTCCTGTGGCCACTGCTGAGTTTTCCATATTTGCTGGCATATTGAATGCAGCACTTTCACAGCATCATCTTTCAGGATTTGAAATAGCTCAACTAGAATTCCATCACCTCCACTAGCTTTGTTCGTAGTGATGCTTCCTAAGGCCCACTTGAGTTCACATTCCAGGATGTCTGGCTCTAGGTGAGTGATCACACCATCTTGATTATCTGGGTCGTGAGGATCTTTTTTGTACAGTTCTTCTGTGTATTCTTGCCACCACTTCTTAATATCTTCTGCTTCTGTTAAGTCCCTACCATTTCTGTCCTCTATTGAGCCCATCTTTGCATGAAATGTTCGTTGGTATCTCTAATTTTCTTGAAGAGATCTCTAGTCTTTCCCATTCTATTGTTTTCGTCTATTAGATTATTCTTAACATTTTGCCATGAAAATCAATATAGTTTCCTTAAAATAGGTAGTGTGGAAATGATTGAAAAAGTAGTTAGGTTGTTATGTTGTATAGTTGCTGTTGCCAGCAACAATAGCTAAAATAACTTAAGTGCTTACTATGTGCCAGGCACTGTATAGGCACAGTGTTGGTATAAACTCATTGAATTCTTAAAGGAATCCAATCCCATAGAAATATTACCTCCATTTTATACATTAGAAAACCAAAGCCTGCAGTGGGTAAGTAACTAGTTCAAGGTCACACAGCTACTGATAATAAGTTAAATACCAAAAAATTATTCTAGTAATAAAACACCTGGACATTGAATATAAAAAGCTTAGAACAGTAAGTAATTTTATAGAAGTATTAATATGTTAAAAATGGCTTCCTTGGTAGCTCAGATAATAAAGTGGCTACGTGCAGTGTGAGAGACCTGGGTTCGATCCCTGGGTCAGGAAGATCCCCTGGAGAAGGAAATGGCAACCTACTCTAGTACTCTTGCCTGATAAATTCCGTGGCTGGAGGAACCTATTAGGCTACAGCCCATGGGATCCCAAAGAGTTGGACACAACTGAGCAACTTCATTGGTTCTCTGGATTAATATGTTAGAAGTATATTCAAAATATAAATACATTAATCTTACAAATATAAGAACTGACCATTTAACGTGTTGCAAAATTCCACTTTTTTTCTTGCTCAGTATTCAGAATCCTAGGAGTATACGTCCATACATATGATTTATTTAATGAATATTGTAAAAGGATAATCACAGTAGATATATTTACCTCATATTTTAGGTTCGCTTGATGAAACAAATGAAGGAAGAACAAGAAAAAGCCCGATTGACAGAATCTAGAAGAAACAGAGAGATTGCTCAGCTGAAAAAAGATCAACGTAAAAGAGATGTGAGTGGACTCAGTTATGTAAAAATACTGTATGTCAATAATATTGTTCAATAAAGGGAAGATATTTTTTGATAACTTTATTAAAATGAGGGACAATAAAGGATTTTTATACATGGCATTTATTATAGTATGTAGATCATAGTAATTCAATATAAAAATTTGTGAAAAACAGTATAATATTACTATAAGTTTTATTGGAGGCTTATTTCCTAGATGATCAGATGGAAGAAAATGGCATATAATAAGTGATTATTTCTAGGGAGACCAAGGAAGTAGTTGCAGTAAAATAGTGGTTTTTAAGGTGGTTCCAAAGACAGAGTCTTATGAATGTTGCTTAACTAATAACCAGACTTCATTAGAAGAGACTTTACTAAGGGTTATACAAATTTTTGTATTCTTTGACCCAAGAATTATGTTTTCATGAACTCAGACTAAGAAAATAATTTAAACTAAGAAAAATTATATTACAGTATGTTGAAATCTTCACTTTTGGTTATTTGTAGTAATGAAAAATGTAAAACCAACTAAGATATGTGACGGTAGGGGTAACAGTTAAATAAATTATAATTCATTCCTTTAATGGGTATTTATTCATCTGTTAAAAATTAGGATTTGGAAACTGCATAGTAAAAGGAAAAATGACTATGATTTAACATTAACTGTAAAGTAACATTTTATATATGCATGCTTATTTACAATACAGAAAAATTTTTAAAATACATATCAATATGCTAAATGTCATTGTATTAAGATTATAGGTTATAGTTGATTGGCTTTTTTTCTTTCCAAATTTTTGACAATATAGTTATTTATGACAATTTTTTAAAAATAAAGAGCCATCACTTTCTTTACCACAGTATCAATTAGGTTCCAGCCTTTGTTCCATTTTTCTCACCCAACTTTTTCTAAATTCTCCCTGAATAAAACATGAATATACAGGATATTTTAGAAAATAGAAATCTGTTTTGTGATCTAAAGATGAAATTAGGGAGCTAGAAAATGACTAATTAAGTAGAAAAATAGATATGTTAGCAGATGAGTCCCATGTTTATAACTATATGTATTTATTAATTTTCCCAAGATATTACTGCATTTTAATTCTATTTTATGTGTTTTAATGTATTTTAAGTCTATTTTATCATTTTTAATACCTGGTGATTTTAGATCTTGTTTATATTAGTACACTGTTACTGAAATCAGGTAGAAGCACACTCTAGCATATGGTCTGTTCTTTTTTTCCTGCTTTTTAAAAAATTGATAAAACTCATATGCCAAAAAATTCAGTTTTAAACTATACAATTCAAGTATGTAGTATGTTCACAGATTTGTACAACAATCACCACTCCATAACATTTTCATCACTCCGAAAAGAAACCCCAGACCAATTGGCAATTACTCCCATTTCTCTCTTTCCCTTACTCTTGACAGCAACTAATTTACTTCCTGCCTATGTATTTGCCTATTCTAGACATTTTATATACTTGGAATCATACCATATGTAGCCTTTTGTGTCTGGCTCTTTTCATTTAGTATGATATTTTGAAGGTTTATCCATGTTATAGCATATATCATTAGTACTTTTTTTTTTAAATGACTATATGTACAGAGCACATTTTGCTAATCCATTCTTCAATTGGGCATTTTGGTTGTTTTGACTTTTAGGCTATTTATTTCATTTTTAATGAAATTTTTGTATGACAAGCATGATTTCCTTGCAGTGTATGCTAACTACTTCTTTACTACTAAGTTAGACACAACGATTAAACAACAACATATGATGTATAGAGAGATCAATATTGAACAATTAATTCCCAGGACTGAACTTTTGAATTTTATCCACACATATGATGTCTCTCTTCTGGCTAATCACATAAAAAGCTACTATTTCAGACTTTTTCCTCCCTTTAATTTGTTGCTTTGTGTGCATATTCAACTCCTGTCTAAAGTGTTTCTTGTAATACTCAATTTGAACCCTTAGGGAACCAAATATGTTGTGTACATCATACAAAAATTATGAATGAGCTTGAGATTTGATTTTTAATATGAAGAAATTAAATTTAGTAACAAGCTTGAAACTATAGGTTAATTTTAGTTTTAGATAGTTCATTAATTTAAAAAGATTTATTAGCTTTTCTTCCATGTCTATTACTGTATAGGCAAGATGTGGCAGTGATAAGACAAGAGTCCTTTTCTCAACGAATTCCTATCTGATAAGATAAGAATATGTATAAACTTGAGATGGATCCTCTGTTTGAATTTGGGATGCACAGCATAGAGAGTTATTTGTTACATCACAGAGTTAAAGTCCTAAAAGAGATGTTTGTGATCAAATCCAACTCCAAAGCTTTGCCCATGATCACAGAGTTAAATAAATGACAGAACCAGAACATGTTTTATTTTTAGTCCAAAATTATTTCCTAAATTATATCCCTATAAAATGGCTTAGAGTAATTAATAATTTTCTGTATCATATAGACTACCTAGAAACAAATTGGTAGCCAGTTAATTTTATTGACCAACATAGTATTTCCAAAGTTATTATAAAGTGCTAATACAATTAATATATGTTCTCTCTATATTTAAACCAGAGTTTATAATTGTATACCTTGTAAGGTGCCTCTATTGAAAATATTCTAAGCTGTGTTTCTTCCTGTTCATGCCTCAGCCAGCCGCCAAAACAAAAATGAGATATTTGTGAAGTGTTTAGGAGGATACTTGCATATAGTAAGCCCTTTATTTATTGCTACAGTGTTGTGTTTAGTCGCTCAGTCGTGTCCTACTCTTTGTGATCCCATGGACTGCAGCCCACCAGGCTCCTCTGTGCATGGGATTCTCCAGGCAAGAATACTGGAGTGGGTTGCCATGCCCTCTTCCAGGGCATCTTCCTGACCCAAGGATAGAACTTGTGTCTTTTTATGTCTCCTGCCGTGGGAGGTGGGTTCTTTAACTCTAGTGCCACCTGCGAAGTCCATAGTAATGAGTGCAAGGTGATTATTAGCTCAGATGCTGCTGAGAATGCTTACGGTTCCCAGTGAAATGGGACAATGATAATGAAGAAGTAAAAAGTATTTTATCTTTCAGTTTACTATTTTAACTTATTCAATGTTATTTTATAGCATCAACTTAGACTTCTGGAAGCCCAAAAAAGAAACCAAGAAGTGGTTCTTCGTCGCAAAACGGAAGAGGCAAGTTGACCGTTTGGAGGAAACATTCTGGCTTTGAAATAAATGATGTATTTCTATAGACTGAGAGAATGAGTCAGTCTCCATTGCTATTTCAGGTTACAGCTCTTCGCCGGCAAGTAAGGCCCATGTCAGATAAAGTGGCTGGGAAAGTCACTCGGAAGTTGAGTTCATCTGATACTCCTGTTCAGGACACAGGTTCCAGTGCAGCTGCTGTAGAAACAGATGCATTAAGAGCTGGAGCCCAGCAAAAAATGAGAATTCCTGTGGCAAGAGTCCAGGCCTTACCAACACCCACGGCAAATGGAACCAGGTAAGCATGTTCTTCTGTTCCTACTGATGTAATCTTTACATCACTGGATGTTGAAAAACAACTCATCATTTGGCATCATATAATCAAACAAGCACATAAGTAACTATGTTTGTATGTTTTTTATATGATTATAGAAAAAAATACCAAAGGAAAGGATTGACTGGCCGAGTGTTTACTTCTAAAACAGCTCGCATGAAGTGGCAGCTTCTTGAACGCAGGGTCACAGACATCATCATGCAGAAAATGACTATTTCCAATATGGAGGCTGATATGAATAGGCTGCTCAAGGTGTGAAAAGTAGAAAGTAGATTTGCTGTCTCTTAGCTGTTAATTTCTGTTTTCTACATTTGTTTGCTGAGTAAATTGAATACTTACCAAGCTGTGTTTTTTGGGGGGTGGTGATTGTGTTGTGTATGAATAGATGAACATCATTTTTTTTTAATTGTAGTAAGAACAGATGCCATGAGATCTACCCTCTTAATACATTTTAAAATGTATAGCACAGTGTTGACAGCTATAAGCACAGTGTTGTAAAGAATTCTATAACTTACTCATCTTATATAATTTAAACTTTATATTCACTGAACAACAACTCCCCATTTCCTCTTCCTCCCAATCCCTGGTAACCCCATTCTATTTACTGCTTCTATGAGTTTGACTATTTAGATTCTTCCCAGAAGTGGGATCCTGCAGTATTTACCCCTCCTGTAACTCACTTATTTCATTTGGCATAAAGTTCTCAAGGTCTAAGATGAACGTAATTTCTTAAAGTCTACTCTGTTTTCTCAATAGCAACGGGAAGAACTCACAAAAAGACGAGAGAAACTTTCAAAGAGAAGGGAAAAGATAGTCAAAGAGACTGGAGAAGGAGATAAAAATGTGATTAACATCAATGAGGAGATGGAGTCATTAACTGCTAATATAGATTATATCAATGACAGTATTTCTGATTGTCAAGCTAATATCATGCAGATGGAAGAAGCAAAGGTTTGTAACTAAGAATAAATGTTTAATGAGAAGTATTTTTGTATTTTTGTCATTAAAAGCACTTTGAATTTTTATATGAAGGGATTTTTTAATCTATGATTTAATTTCATTACAGTTTTGTCTATCTTTTTCTAATGACCCTTTCCTTTGTAATAAGGAGGAAGATTCTTTTACAATGAAACGTGTTCCTTTTATCTTTCTTTAGAGTTAAGAAAAGTCAGCAGTATTTACATCAATTCCATTAGCTTCTCATCTATTGTGCTTGTGTATTAGAACAGGTAAACAAAGAATAATTTCTTTTTTGCTTCGACAAAGGAAAAGGTAAAAGGAAAATCTCTTAGTGTGCAAACAAATTCAGTGTTATAATTTTGATTTAATAATGACTCTTTACAACTCAAAAAGTCAGGAAAAAATACAGTTGCACTCTCCTTATCTTAAGTAATTTCTGCTTAAATGTTAAAGATGCTAATGATTTCTGACTCACCCTTTTTCTCGACACTGAGAGTGTGCTATACCTTTAGTTTTGTTCTCTTGCTTAATCCTTACAATGTGCATGAAATAAATATTATTTGTATTGTTTTGAATATGAGGAAACTGAGAATCAGGAAGACTCTGATACTAATCAGGAAGATTCCTCTGATACTAATAGCTAGCCAACACTTGCTCAGGGTCACTGAGTTTGCAAGCATAAGAGCTAGGATGAATCAAGGTCTATCGAATGTCAAAGTCTGTACATCATATGCATTTGCCATTTGATACAGATCTTCATGTAGTTGATTCTGTTTGTGTGATCTAAGATACACCTTTTTTTCTGGGGGGGAATGTTATAGGGTCTTCAGGCTGCCCAGAAAGAGGCTCAAATTAAAGTACTTGAAGGTCGGCTTAAACAAACTGAAATAACCAGTGCTACACAAAACCAGCTCTTATTCCATATGTTGAAAGAGAAAGCAGAATTAAATCCTGAGCTAGATGCTTTACTAGGCCATGCTTTACAAGGTAATTTGGATTAAATCTTAGTTAAATAAATTGCATGGTAACTTTGCTCTTTGAGTATGCTGTACTCTACCTCTTTCCTCTATAGCTTGACTGAATAGATGCTGTATTTACTTATGCTTTTTAATTATTCCTTTTTTAATTTGCATGTGTAAATTTGGGGGGATGTAATTATTGTCATTACAAGAAATGATTAGTAACTTAAAAATCCTTACTTAGCATTATTAAACAAATAATTTTTATGAATTAAAAAAGATCAACAATGTTTCTGAGTTGGTTGTTTAAATTATTAACCAAATTTCATTACTTTATTCTGCATATCTAACTATCTTAAAAATAAATGTATAAGTGTTTGCTATGGCATCTATTCTACATATCTTATAAATGGTACATAATCTTGTTTTATGTGAGAGTTCTTAACATTGGATCTGTTTTGATTGGAGTATTGCTTTTTGTTTCCTTTTTGCTGTTATTTATACAGATCTAGATAGCGTACCATTAGGTAAGTATGTTTAGCTTTCTGTGTACCTACAGCTGCATGAATTACTAATTGTTCATGTACACTAATTGTGGTACATCTTATTTAAAACATTTTTATTGGCAGCCAGCTGGTTTTTGCATGATCTTTTTTGAAATGTATCTGTGACCACAAACATACTAAGTCTTTTGTCTTCACATTTCTTGATTTTTAGATTCTTAAATGTTTAAAGAAGTATAGTTTTCTATTTTATTATCTGAACTCCAGTTCTGGCTCTAGTTTCATCAGCCCCTCTTTCTGTTTCTTGCAGGAAAAAATGGGATATATATTCCTTTTTAGTTTTTAAATCTATTAATTTTGCATTTGTCATTTTACCCTCATAAATATCTTTCTGTGTTGTATATCTTTTATATATAATGTCTTTGGTTTATTTTTGATAGATTCTCAGCTATCCTTAAATTTTATAGAATTAAGTACATGTATTTTAATATTGTAAGTTGAAATAAAGCTATCCAAAGAGTTTTACATGAATGGATTGAAATAATATTTATGATTATAATATGTTCGAGTTAGAAAGAGCTTAAGAGATGTTTGAACATTGAGATTTTCGACTCCTTGCCTCTACAACATTCATGTGAACTATGTCCACCCATGAATAATATCTGAGATTCTCCTGGCAGTTATATATATATATGAAAGATCAGGAGTATCAGGGTAATTTTATTGCTTGCATTCTCCTGAAGATTATTTTTGAACAGTTTTTATTTAAAGTTATTTCAAAATCTGATCCTAACTTTTTTTCTTAATCATACAGCTGTCAAAAGTTTTCTAAAATATTTTTCTTGAAGGAGAGGAATGTAGCTGAAAGATTAATGTAATTACCTCTCTGGATCATTAAACAGCCTATGAATCTAAATTTATTTTAAGTGGTAGAATGTTACACAAATAAAATACTTGCTCTGTTTGATATTATTAGATCTTTCTTAGTTTGCCCTGTGTGTTAAATCTCAAAATAATATTTCCTTGAGATCAACTCAGTAATATAGATGTGGACTTTTAACCTGCTCAAGCTATAACAAAGACATGTAGAAAAAAAATTTGATTATATTAAAGAACCGCATTAAGGCTGCCAAAATTCCTGAAATATAATGAGAATTTTTGCCATTCCTTGTTTTATTAAGCATATTTCCTTTCCTCTTCCTCTTCCCCCTCCTTTTTGTTCTTCCCACCCCCTCGTCTGCCTTTTCTTTGTTCTTCTTCATCTTAGTGGCTCAACTTGCAGTAATAAGTAAATTTTTATTTAAGTCCATTATCTCTTTTAACTTGGAAGAAAAAATGCAATGCCCTCTTTGATGTTGTTTTGTGCAGAAAATATTAAACTGTTAATTGTTGAGTATTGTTGCTTTTTCACAACTTTCAATTATCTATAGCTTAAAAAGGGGTCAAAACAGAGAAGAGGAACACAGTCAACTGATAACAACCTGTTACTCATGGCATAAATTTTCCCTAAGGCCATAATCTAGACCTAGAAGTGCTTGGAAGAAAAGCATGGAAGGCGAAAAACATGGAAGTAAATCCATACAAACTAGATGGTCATATGTACATTGCTTTAAAAAAAAAAAAATATTTGTTTAATTTCAATTTATCTCGAGCTTTGGGCTGGGTGCTGGGATTCAAAGATAAGTAGGATACAGAATCTTGCTCTCATGGACTATGCCTTACTGAGGGTGACAGGGAAGAGACTTGGGATATGTACGGGGAGTTATGGGACCACAGAATGGGGCTACCTAACAGAAATGGAGGAGTTGATGCAGGCTTTCTGGAGCCAGTATTGAGCTGAAACATAAAGGAAGAAAAAGATTTAGCCAGGCAAGAGACACGGTAGAAGGGGGCTAGGCAGAAGAGTCACTCTTGTCAGGGAGTAAGGTAAAGCATGGACATTAGCCACAACATTATATGCATGAAGACTTCAAGCCGGTTGGTGCCCTAGAGTAACAAGTATGTTCATCAGAACATAAGGTTAGAGGCCAGTACTCCATGCTAGTAGGTGTGTGTTGTTGTAGCCACTGAAGAACATCTTTATTTTCCCCTTCTTATTCCTCTACCTGTGTTTATGTTATTGTACCTAGGATCTTTCCCTACATTTAGGGATTTGCTAGAAGATTCAAGGGGCTCAGCATACAATTGTATTCATGGCAAAGATTAATGAGAGCTGTATAGGAAGGATACACAACAGTACTATAAAGGAAAAGATGCAGATGGAGTAAGGAAGAATCCTTATCCAGGCTTTCTTATGCTCTTTTCCTTCCAGGAAACATCACACAGAGTGTACATTTCTCTCTGGAATGAAAATGCAGCAAGTTGAGTGCATTGTTCACGTCCAGGGAATTCCATTAGACACTCAGCATCTGAGATTTTTACTGGATACTAGTCACATACATTCCTTTTATATAGTAGTACCAGAATTCCAGATTATGGAGGAGTTGATGCAGGCTTTCTGGAGCCAGTAAAATTTGAGCTGAAACATAAAGGAAGAAAAAGATTTAGCCAGGCAAGAGACACGGTAGAAGAGGGCTAGACAGAAGAGTCACTCTTGGCAGCGAGTAAGGTAAAGCATGAACATTAGCCACAACATTATATGCATGAAGACTTCAAGCTGGTTGGTGCCCTAGAGTAACAAGTATGTGACTTGGGATGATGAACATAAGGTTAGAGGCCAGTACTCCATGCTAGTAGGTGTGTGTTGTTGTAGCCACTGAAGGACATCTTTATTTTCCCCTTCTTATTCCTCTACCTGTGTTTATGTTATTGTACCTAGGATCTTTCCCTACCTTTAGGGATTTGCTAGAAGATTCAAGGGGCTCAGCATACAATTGTATTCATGGCAGTACTATAAAGGAAAAGATGCAGATGGAGTAAGGAAGAATCCTTATCCAGGCTTTCTTATGCTCTTTTCCTTCCAGGAAACATCACACAGAGTATACATTTCTCTCTGGAATGAAAATGCAGCAAGCTGAGTGCATTGTTCATGTCCAGGGAATTCCATTAGACACTCAGCATCTGAGATTTTTACTGGATACTAGTCACATACATTCCTTTTATATAGTAGTACCAGAATTCCAGATTCTGGAAGGAAAGCAGGAATTCTCAGCATAAGCCATATTGTTTGCACAAATATTCTAGGTGTAATGAACTATATTAGTTAACTGGTGACTAGAGAAATTCTGAGAGCTAAGTTTCCATATAACAAAGTCCAACTTTGCAAGAACGCCTTTCTAAGGATAGTAGTCTGGGGCTGCTATTGCTACCCAGTCCAGACTCCCTCTGATTGCTGCACAACAGACCAATTAACTAAGAGGTGAGATGTTGAGGCAAGGAATACGACTTTACTCGGAAATCTGGCTGACTGAGAAGATGGCAGACTAATGTCTCAAAATAATCATCTTATCAGGATCTGTATGCCAGGTTCTTTTATAGAACAGAGGTGAGGAGAGGTGAGGAGATAAAGTGAAAAGACCATTAACCTTGCAAACGTCACCTGGAATGGCCAGTCTTGGGGAGGGGATATGTTAATTTCTTGCTTTCTATAGTCATCCACAGGTGGACAGGATCCTGAATAAAGGCATTTGGGTTTAACATTCAAGCAGAGGGGCGGGGTTCCCTGAGGCAGGCCATTATGTATGGACAGTATCCTTTTAGTGAACAAAGTTAACAGTAAGCAAAGGTTAAGATAAAAGAAACAGATCTAATGTGGAGTCATAGCTGACTCTTCCCTGTAACACATCAACTCTTCTCCATATGTATTTATATTAATATGAATATCAACTTATTAAATATTGGTTAGCTTCTAGTGACATGAGATTATGCAACTATGTGCTGATGTGGATGACTTTAAGACATTTTGCAGTTTTAAATCTCACTGCTTTTAGCTTTAATGCTTAGTGATGAGAAAAGAAGCTGATACCGGGCTGGAATTATGTTCTAAAGAGTTGGAAGTAGAGCAGTGAGATGATGGCATATCCTGCTGCCCAGATGGCTATAGTGCCAAAGACAAAGCTCAGTCCTGAAGAGGTGTGTGATTTGGTGAAGTCTCGGTGAAGGGCTCTATCTTCTGGCTAGGTTAGTTATGCCAAACTGTAATCATCTGTAGATAAAGCATACATGCATATGCAGGAGCTAAGTAGTTTTTACTAAGCACTTACATGATTGATGTTCTAACTGGTTTCATCATTCCCTACAAGAAAATTACTAGTCAATCTTAGCCTGCTTTTATGTATGGGAAAATAAAGACTAGACTTGTCATTTCTTTCCATTTTCTATGTTATTAACTGATTCAGTTATACTAGTGCTCATTATCCTGTCTGTGAAGCACATCCTCCAGCCTCTACATATGGGCTTTGAGATACACATTGCCCTCAAGACCACCATTTTCCTCATTTCAGAAAGTAAACTCCCTTTTTGTGGGTCCTATTAGATGGACTCCATTTTAGATAATGCTATCATTTATTACTGAATTTCTATCCAGTTGTCTGCTAAACAGTGAGGAAGAAAGGGAGCATCTGAGAAAGGAATTAAGAATATGATTTATGAGCATAATACACCTGTATGATATCAAAGTGAAAGTCAAAAGGAGATTAATCCTGCATATTTTAATTAGCATATATTATTGAAAATATTGCCTTTAGTTTTGTGCTGTGGCTTTATAATGAATTGTATAATGTGCCCCTGTGTTAGGAGCTCACTGACATTTTAAATAATTTAAGTGGATGTTTTATTTACTGACTTCCTTCTAGTTTTATATGTTTGCCTTTTCCTCTCTTTTCATCAGTGTGCTACTGTTCTGAAATAGCAGTGGTTTGTTTGTATTTATTTATAAAACTATTGCATGGAAACCTATAGTTCTAGTCTTTTATGTACGTGTGAATGAGCTGCATGCTGATGTGTAACTTCTGAATACCTTCACACACACATACTATCTTTCTGCTTGAAAACAAAAATAAAAATAGAAGAAAATCTATAAGTACATTGGAATACTGATAAAATACAACAAATATATTTACACTAATGTATTTTTTGATGTTGCCTCATTAAAGGGAGCTTGTGCAGCATTTACTTCAATTTTTCATGTTTTACTCAGTGGTTTTTCATACATGGAATAAATGGATGGTGTGGGATAAATACGTTCTCTGAAATTATATTTAAATAATTACACACACTCAGATAAATACATGATCTCATTTCCATCCTGTGAACGCAGTTCTTCTATACTTTATCATTCAACTCATGGCTTTCCTATCTTGAGCACATTTTTCTCATCCTAGGACATATAATCAAAAGAGTTTCTTAGAATTTTAGTTTTACATTTCTATTTTGACTGAGTTACTAAAACCAAAGTGCCCATGTTGAGAAACCTCAGGCTGATGTTTATTATAGCATAGGCATTACAGTCATTCAAAGTGTGACATGGATAATACTTACATTTTGGACTATTTTTTTTTTTAGAAAATGTAGAGGAGAGCACTGATGAGGATGTACCTTTAAACAGTCCAGGATCAGAAGGAAGGTAAGAGAACCTTTAGAAACTTAATGAGTTGACTTGTTTCTGTAATATTTGTAATACTTTTATATTGTTGAATCAATTAACATAAAACAAATAATTTTAGGTTTTATGGCTAAGTGAAGAACAGTAGAAATAGTAATATGGAAGCCAAACTAAGTAATGCTTAACCATCAAGAATTTAAAAATAAAATACTGAGATATTTAAGGAAAGAAATGAACTATTTTGATTAGTTTATTTTTATTTCAATATTGTCCTTCTGTATTTTCCATAGGCTTATAAATTTTTTTCCAAACTTAAACTGATTAGAGGTCATATAGTTTTATATATTGTTTCCTTTTATTCATATGATTATTTATTTGCACACAGCTCACTGTCTTCAGACCTTATGAAGCTTTGTGGTGAAGTGAAACCAAAAAGCAAGGTAAGAATAGAAAATACCAGTTAAACATTTTTTCTGATGTTCTTTATTATCACTATTAAATGCATAGGCCTTGGGCACAGGCAAAGATTTCATATGATAGAAATTTAGTTCTTTATCATATTCTCCGTTGAAAAAAATTTATATTGACAAATTTCTCCTCTGTGGAACTTGTTATTTACTGTATTCTTGTGCTTTCTCCTCTAGGTAAGATATGATTATGGAGAACAATGCTTAAAATAATTTAGAATGACAGGAGATTTTTGAAATTTAACATTCTAATATGTTCCTAAGTCTCTGATTTATTTTAACATATCTTGAGATGGTTTGAATAGGTCAACTCTTAGTCATCATATTGTATTAAAATTTGAGACTATAATGCATATTTGTAAAGCTTAAAAAAATAAAGTATACATGCTGTTACATGTGTGAGAAATAGCATGGTATATTTCAGATTGCATATTGGTAGCATTTGATACTAGATGAGTTAACTATCCATTTTAAGATGTTTGAAAACAAAGAATTCTTGCAGTGCTTAGTAAATATTTGGTGGATGAATGGATGAAATCAAGACCTGAAAGAATAGTACTGTACTAATGCACATGATGGATACAAGGCCCACAGTGGTTAGCCAGGTAATATAGATAAATAGTTTGACTAGATATAAGATAATTAACAGGAATCATTATGATTACCTGAAGTGGACATGGCCCATCTAAAGCAAATAGGCATCACTAACTAATGGTTATTTTTGCTATCATGGAATATGGGCCTAAGACTACCAGATCCTCAACTCTTTAAAGAGTAGCTTTAAATATGGATTTTAATGGAGAATTTCTTTCTCTTTAAAATACTGAGCTAGCCAATTGAAAAACATCTCCAGGCTTTATGTATGGTCCTTGAGCTACCAGTTTGATGACATGTGGTTTGAGTTTGATTATTCTAAGTGACCAGAGATTATCCAGTCTCAAAGAAAACATTCTAGTATAGTTTGGATTGAGTCTTAACATGTAGGCAAAAATCTCTTAAGGTAACTTGGTCTTTCAGACCCTGTGAAGTTCAGAGAGAGATGTGAAGTGGTACCCTGAAGGTCATCTCCTTAAAAAACCATTGTGATTAGGAATTCCCATGAAAATGATTCAGTTGGCAATAGGGAAAACTGATACGGTGAAAAGCTGGCCTGCAGGGCTTCCTTTTTCCAAAAGTTTTCTGGTAATATCTGTCATTCCTTTGGTACTGCATGGATGCCTGTTAGTTGCTCAGTCATGTCTGATTTTGTGATCCCATGGACTGTAGCCTTCCAGGCTTCTCTGTCCACGAAATTCTCTCAGCAAGAACACTGGAGTGTGTAGCCATTTCTTTCTCCAGAGGATCTTCCTGACCCAGGGATCAAACCCCGGTCTCCTGCGCTGCAGGCAGATTCTTTACTGCCTGAGCCCCCAGGGAAGTCCATAGATGCCTAAAAGGATCGAATATTATTTATTTTTCACTCACTGAAGAAATGAAATTGATTATATATCTTAAATAGACTGGTACCAGCACTACATTAAATGTAAGACATATAAAGTTGAATAAAACAGGATGTCTACCATTTAGAGGTTTATAATCTGGTAAACATTTTGATTGTCTTTTAATATATTAGTGATAATAGCCAGCTTGTTGTTAAGTATTAACAACAAGGTAGTCTCTTTGTTTTTTTAGGAGTATGGAAGGGAGTGCTTAAATAAATAAAATAACCTTCACCTGCCTTACCATGCTGCCAAAAACTGGTATGGACTGGTGTTGGATATCCATCAGGGAGATTAAACAGCCAGTTAGGGCATCAGGCAAGCAGGGTCATAAAAATGGAGAAACAGATGTAAACATTGATATGTAAAATTTAAATTTATATATTACATAATATATATTAAAATGTATATTAAATAAGTCATCTAAGCCTGGGATAGATAAGAATTTAGTTGAATGCCATTGCACCTATCTTTTGGTTTAATTTCTTTATTCCTTTTTTCTTTTTTCCTAAAATGATATATCGAGAAAGCTGGCCATTAGTATCAGGATAGCATAATAATATTGGAGGCAGATTGTCTGGTTTTGAATCTGACTTTGCCACTTAATAGCTGTTTGACTTTGGGCTGTTAGCTATCCTGTGCTTTAGTTCTCTCATTTTGGGAATTGGGATAATAATAGTATATACTAATATAGTAAATTATTTAGAATTTCTGGCATACAATAAGTATAATACAAACATTGGCTATTATTATGACCTCTAAAGTTCTCAGCTGGCTGTATCTCTGGCTTGTCACTATCTTACATGTGTTCGACACACTTGCTAGGAAAGACACGCTGAATGTTTTACCTATTTCAAACTAATATTAAGTCTCTATTGCCTAATCATCTTCTCTGCAGAAGTTTGCATATGATTGCTTTTCCTTCCATTCTCTGACTAGGCCCGAAGGAGAACCACCACTCAAATGGAATTGCTGTATGCAGATAGCAGTGAAGTAGCCTCAGACACTAATACAGGAGATGCCTCCTTGCCTGGCCCTCTTACACCTGTTGCAGAAGGGCAAGAGATTGGAATGAGTACAGAGACAAGTACCTCTGCTAGGGAAAAAGAGCTCCCTCCCCCATCTGGCTTCCCTTCTAAGATAGGCAGCATGTAAGTCTGGCCCAGCTACACTAACTTCCTTTCTTTTGGCTTTTCTTTTTAAAAATAAAAATATATATGCATGTTACTAATTTCTTATTTCTATTTTTAAAAATTTATGTAAATAAGGTCTCTAGTTTTCAAAGTAATTTCTGTTAGGTGTTGTATCCCCTAATTTTTGCACATTCAAAATAATTTAAATGAGATGTTGCTTACTGCTAAAGATTTTTAATGCCTTATTTCAAACTAATTCTTACACATGGTCTTGCAAATGATCTATTGGATGAACGCATCACTGCATTGAGAAATATTGCCAAAAAGTGGTACCCGCTATATGACTCTGTAAATAATAAAATGTAACATACTCCCCACCCCAACCTGAATATCTATCTGTTTCCCATAACTTTCTTCATCCTATGAAGATATTTTCATTGTCTTACATTCAGTAAGCCCATCGCTACCTTTAGTTCCAAAATTAATGATGACAGAACTATGCTGCATGTGCTTGAGGTGACTTATGTAATTAATAATTGGATTTGCTATTAGAGATTGCTAACCAGTATAGCTTATGGCTTCAGTGCTTTTTTGATAACAGTAGAAAAAATGCTTTTGGTGAAGGTAATGATATAGAACTGAGGACAGATTTTAGAGACTCCTATGAGTTCAGCATTTAGTCTATCAGATGAATAGAGACTTTTGGAACTTCAACACTAAATCTATGACCTGGATTCCAGAATGCAGGTAATTCCTCCTTGTTGCCTTTTTTTTTTTCCCCATTTTAAAAATGTATCATTCATGACAGGTTGTAGAAAATATCTTTTAGACACCATCTCTTCACATGATTTATTATCAAGTTTTCATAAGTTAAGATGCTTGTATAGTTCTATACAAATTTAACAGTTGGTCATATGCTTGGTACAACTCTTATAACTCAGTACGTGACTTCCATTGCATGAAGTAAAATGATTTACTCAAGTGGGCCTTATGATTTAAATAATGCAAGACTTCTAAAATATGTTTTCCTCTAATTAAAAAAATCAGGAACATAAAGTTTAATTATATTTAATTTTCACTTTCAAATCAGAATTGTTGTAAGCCCATTTTAGGGATCCCACTTGCTCATTCCTTAGGTTTTTTTTTTTTTCCTTACTAGTATAACTAGTCAAAGATAGCAAAAGTTCATTTTTTCAATTAAAATTCCTTACCACTATGCACAGAAATCGTAGTCTTAAATTTTTCATTACATAGCCACTGCTCAACATTTAAAGTCTATAATAAAACAAAAGTATTTTTAGTACTAAAATTTATATAGCTAATGCTTAAATACTAGTTAACTAAAATAATTGTGGGTTCTTTGTGATTACCTGCAGTATTCTTTTGTGATTGTGTAAATATTAATTCATTAAATCTCATTGTTTCTCATACTCTGACATTCTAATATTTTTGTTCTTGCAAAACTGTAAAGACAATTTTCCCTCAACTGAAGCAAATCTAATCAAACTTATACACTTATGTTTTTTAACACTTGTATTTAAAGTAGAAAATATTATTTTAGCTATTTGGCAATATAGCGTTGATGTTTGCATTCGAAGATAATGGTCATGTATATTTGACAAGATTACCAATTTAAAAATTAAAATATACAGTTGTCAAGATCCCATTAATTAAAAATAATTCGTGATATTTTCCTATCCTAGTTCTGTTTCATTTCCAAATAATCTTTCTCAAATTCCAGGTGTTGATCTGTTAAAAATTGAATATCTGCCAAAATTGTGTGTATTTAAAATTAGATAATTGAAGAATCTTCTTCTGTCTTAGTTCCAGGCAGTCATCCATGTCAGAAAAAAAGCTACCAGAGCCTTCCCCTGTAACAAGGAGAAAGGCATATGAGAAAGCAGAAAAATCAAAGGCAAAGGAACAAAAACAGTAAGCTATTCATGCTCTTTATCTAGTAGATTGTGTGAAATGTCTGATGCCCTTAGATGCTAAGGGGCAATGGTGAAATTATTTTCCATATTCAGGCTGACTCTGGGATTGTGACTTGGTCTTATAGAAAGTTTTGAAATTAATTTTGACTGTTATCTGATAAAACTGACATTCATTTCACCACTTTAAAGTGATTAACAAAAATCTAGTATTAGAAGATATCTGCCATTGTGCCATTTTATTTCTGTTCTTTTATGTTTAAATTGATACTATCCTCAATTTTTTTGTTAAACTATTTTAATAGCTATTTGTATGTTTTATAAGGGTTAGCTTACTTAACAGTACACAATATAAACTGATGATCCACTTACCTGGACATTTGTTAATCACAATAACACAACAGACAGAAAGTTTTAAATGGGTTAGAACCACTATCACCTTTCTACTCTATGGCATAGTGAGATCTCCCTTAGGCCACCTCAGGAGCTACATATGGCAAGTAGATCTCTGACATGGTCTTGAGTAGGAATATCAGTGTGAATCTATATTTAAGTATTGGTAAAGCAAATTTCTTTAACATAAAAATAATTATAAAAAGAAGCTCTCATATATTTTTTGTACCTGCAAAGATGATATCTTATACCTTCTTCCTCTCTTGTACCAACATGCACACTCTCTACTTTGACCACTGGTTTAGCTGACTTGAATATCATGGAAATTACTCTTCTAATTAACCTTCTTCCTGTATTTAGAGGTGGAATTTACCTGTTTCTACTCAGTTGAATGTCGCAATTATAAGCTGGAGGTAGGGAATGGGACAAATATGTAATTTAAAAATAAATGAATAAATCAGCTGAATAGACAAATTCTTCTTAAACTCTCAGGGTCTGTTTCCTCATCTGTAAAGTGAACAACTTGGTTTCAACTCTCAAATTGTATAATTTTAAATTTGGTTTGCTTTATTTGTACTGACTTTAGATTTTAGCAGACATTTTCTTTAGTGCCATCTTGTGGCCAATGTGACAAAATTCAGTGGAAAAAATTTCAGTGAAATTTTATCTCATATAAAAGGAAGAGAGGATGAAAGGAAGGAATTCTATAATGAAAAGCTTTTTTAAAAAATAAAAGCATGTTTCTTATAACATTTCTAACAAATTAAAGCCAATTAAAGCCACCTATGTAATGTTCTTTTTTCTTGTAGCTCAGATTCTGGAACCTCAGAGGCTAGTCTTTCACCTCCTCCTTCCCCACCAAGCCGGCCCCGTAATGAACTGAATGTTTTTAATCGTCTTACTGTTTCTCAGGGAAACACATCAGTTCAGCAGGATAAGTAAGTCATTATGTAAAAGAGCCCCAATTATTCATTATAATATTCTGAACCTTTCAGTACAGTCTGTAGAAAACATTTAGCCTCTCTCTGTGTGGGAGATGGAGTCTGACTTGTGAACCCTTCCCATATTTCATGTATTTTTCCAATGGAAAATGAACCATTTAGACAAAATTAGAGACATTTATTTTCCTGCTGAACATTATTCCCTGCTATGGATTTGCATTGCTGTACTTCCACACTTGTGTTGCCTTTTTTTTTTTTTAACAAGTAAATTAGAATTGAAAATCTTTGAGATCACTTGAAGTTTAAATTTCTTGTGATTCTTCAGCTTTATTGAGCCCATAAAAGCCTCTAAGCCAGATAGCCTGCACTGAAAAGAGGCAAATTATTTTACTTTTGGTGCATGTATCATTTTCTAAAACCATTGTCGTATGTGTATGGGTAAAAGAGTACTTTCATGGGTGGACGACATAGAACTCTAGGTTGTTGGGGAAGAGAAGTTGGAAAGGGATGGAAAATATAATTTTAATTAAATTTGAAGTGAAAAAATATTCCCACATTGAGCCAGAATCTCTTTTGCAAGAATTTCTTACTAACAGTGTTGCCATAAGGTATTTATTAACTGACTTCTCTGCTTTGAGTTTCAATGTTAACATTGAGGATAAGATAAGTACTTGATATTCAGTATCCCATGCCAGTTCTTTGTTTTTTACGCTATAATCTCCCTGTATATATCAATTTCTGAAACTTATAAGGTATTGTTTGAGATCCGTCTGGCATGTTTAGATCATGCTAAATGGCTCTGTATACATAGGCACATCATCATTTTGAAAGATTGTTTAATCTACTTAGTTTATGGATACATTTTTTATTAGATTTTAATATAGTTTTAGCATTAGATACAGACATGTCCTTTAAAATGATCTAGATAGGTTTTTTAAAAAAATATTTAAAAGAGAACATTGTTAAATCCTATCTCTTATCTAATTGAGAAAGAGGAGAACATTAAGAATGTCTTTAGGAAATCCATTTTCACTAGCATTGTGAAGAATTACTAAGTTTTGTCTCCCTTGCATTCACAGTATTAAAATTTTTGTGTCAGTCTTTTGATAATCTTGACGATCTAATCATAGTTCCATATTTTTTCTGAAATTGTTTATGAGTTACCAATCATTTGACTCTGTTGTCATCTCTATAAAGAAAAATTTAGAATAACTGACTACACTTTCAAAAATCTCACCTAACTTATGAATCACTTTCTTTGGGCTCCTTTTTGAGACTAGTATATTTTACCAGATAGAAGTAGGTCCTACACATTGTTTCTGATTACATAATATGCCAGCACTCACTTTATCCCCATTCTTCCCGAGTATTAGAATGACCAAAAAGTTTGTTTGCAAATTTTTCATAAGACGTTATGGGAAAGCCCAAATCAACTTGTTGGTCAACCCAAGATATTATACAATAATACAAGCTAAATAGATTTTCATAGTAACTAGATTTATTGTCAGTCCTGGAGGTTTCAGGTTAAGGCTGATGAGAGTAGCTCGCCTATTTTTAAAATTCCAGTAAAACTTCCTAACTATTACTAAGGGACTGCCTGGTCAGAAGAACTCCATGTTTTTGAGATGAATTAAAATCCAAGGTTATTAAATTTTGAATGATTTGCTTTCCATGTATACATATGATGTATTTGTGCAACTTCCACATGAAGTCTAAATATAAAGTAATTATCAAGAGGAATAAAATTCATTAATGACTATTGAGACAGAAAAAGTTTTCTAGTACTAGTCAAATTAGAGTCTTGAAGTGATGTATTTCATTAGCTTGATGCTGTTCCTCTTCAGGGCCTGTATTTTAGAAAGTGAGAGTAGATTAGGGTCTGTGGATCAGTAATAGAAAGTACCCCCCCCACCCCAAATTTTGGAAGAAAACATAAGCACAAAATTTTAACTAATTTGGCTATCAATGAATTTGCTGATATTCTGTGCAAATAGGAAAGGAATGCGCTATAAAGGAAATGTTTGCTGTATTTCTGTTATTCATAGTACTGAATCCGTTCAGTCTCAGTGGCTTTACCTGTTGACATCTGTTTTCTTTTTCCTCATAATTCTAACTCTTTCACTGTAGGTCTGATGAAAGTGATTCCTCTCTGTCGGAGGTACACAGGTACTTTCTATCTTTCCTACGTTCTGGCATTTCATTGATGTTCTAAAATGCCTTCCAAGAAACTTTAAACAAGTCTCATTTTTGTTGCACTCATAACTTGTAAGCCATATAAATGCACTAATATTTTTAAACATTAATTTTAATATACTTTTGTGAGGTCATAGCTTTCAAGGTAATGGCAAACTTATAATAGTATAAAAACTTGTGCCATTTGTATTCTGTCTATAATCTAAAACTTTTATTTAAAAGAAATTAAGTTTTATGAAAATTAATGTCAAGGTTTGCTCTTCATCAGACATTTTTTCCACCTCAAAGTGTAGGAAGTGAATAAGGTATTTTTTCATGTTGATTTATTGATTTTAAATAAAACTTTAAGGCAGGCTCTGTGATTTTAAAACAAAAGGTATGCTAGGGGAAAAAAGTATACTGTGGTACATAAAATATAGAAAGTAAAGAATTTTTGAAACATAATATTTTAAGCATTTTAGATGCTGTTTTTAAAATAATGTTGCGTTTCTTCATGTTATGGATTTTTTGGACCCTAATTTCTCTTTTTTTCCTTTCATTTCCTGTCCTTACTAATCAATTTGTCTCCTTCTTTCTCTTTGCACTACTTTCCCATGTTTCATGACCATTTTCCTGATCATCAGTAGATCCTCCAGAAGGTAGGCAGGGGAAGGGAGAGGAAATTAATATCATTCACAGTATTACAAGACTTTATTGGTTTTTCATGGACCAAAAAGCATTTTTTCCCCTTTCACATCAGATCTGTTGTATAAGTTTACAATATTAAAGTTGAGTTATATATTTCAGAATGTGAATAGATTTTTAATAGAGAAAGAAATACCTGACTTATGTTTCCAACTTCTGTATTTTTTCTATTAATATTATCTTTTGTATCAGGTAATAGCTATAAAATATTAACCCCAATATTCTGAATATTTGAGAGTATAGTTCAGTATCTAATGAATATAATATTATATTTAATGTTGAAATTATTTTCTTCAGAAGTCTGAGTAAATAAATCACATAAGAATGAAAAAGAGACATCCTGGTGTCTAAGGCGTGCCATACATAAGTTATTGGAACCTTTGTAATTTTACAACCTTTCACATGGCAGAATTGTGTTGAACGTTATGTCATCAAGGGAACATTAGTAGATTCTTAGGATAAAGATAGTAATTTGAAGGAAGGAAATCTTTGGAGACATAGTATTAAATAACCAAGGGTACTGTTTTAACTTTTTTCTTAGGATGATTTGTGTCATTTAATCTGCATTTGTGCAGATCAAAGCAGCTCTAAGCTTGTTAAAATGAATTCCTTTCTTTATAATCAGCTTGTTAAAATATACATACATATATATGTAGTGTTTTAGAAGTAAGTATTATAGCAATAGACTATACATTAGATCATAACTTTTCAACATCTGAAGCAGCAGTTAAAAATTTGATGTCCTCAGTTCATAACTGTAAACTCCACATAATAGGATTTCAAAATGGCAATTTTAGACTTTTGAGGAGGTTTTGCTACCATTTCTGTTTCAATCTGATTAAATTTTTAGACAACTCACAAATTATTGAGCATTAATTTCAAGGATCTCAAATTAATGTGTATATACAAATAATACTTTGTATTTTGTAGTTATGAATCCATGTGATGGATGATCCATGTGATCCATCCATGTGCCTGGTCTTATTTCTGCTGATGAGAAGCTCCCTTTGCTTTTTGAAATCATTATAACTAAGTCCTAAAAATAAATATTTCTTTATCCTGAGCCTAATTTATTACCTCTTTAAATATTTGTTCATTGGTCTGTCCTCAGCCCTCTTGAGCTATACTAGCAATGATCCAGTACATCTTTTTTGCATGCATATGACAGCTCTTTAGATATTTAGTACTTTTGTATGGTCTGTCCAATGAAGGTTCTTTTATCAGCTCAATAGATTTAGATTAATCTGTTTCTAATGTGATATAGTCTGCAGATCCTTCTTTTTGCTTCTACTGTTTTGGAAAATCTCCAGGTTTCAAAAGCACAATGAGGTGCCATTTCAAAGCTCTATGTAGCCTCTAGAATTCTACTTCATTCCAGACGTAGCCTTGGCAGAGTATAGTAGTTCTATTGCTTTCTTTCTCCCGAAATATTTACTTATATTGCAGAAGTTATTGAAAATAGTGTTAGAGGAATCATACATTGTTGATCCATTGATCTTGCATTCAATAAATAAATTTCTCTAGCTTTTAAAATCTAATTAAGCCCCTTTCCTACTTGGAGCATTATGTTCTATCTTCAACTTAAATTATATGCTTAAGTTTTATCCAGTGAATATTTTAGTGCTAAGAACATACTTAAACAGACTTTGGGAATAATTTTCTAGACAGTATAGCTCTTTAATATGTCAATTTAGTAAGCTTGCCATATCTGTCTTAAGTTCACTAGAAAGACTAACTAGATATTGAAGACCTTTTTCCAGATTGAGAGGAACACTGATTCTAGGGGTAACTTTTCAGCCACTGATGGAACTACCTTACTACAAGAATTTCAAACTTACCCACCATGTATATAGGGATATCATTTGAAACGCTTTTTGTATGGACTTTATTGGAGTCAATATACATTATGAGTTCGACATTACCCTAGTTTGCTGCCTATTAATTTTACCAAAAAAACTCCCCATGAGCTGTTATCACTTATTCATGAGCAGTTAGGTGTTTGTAATTTTTGTAATTATTTATTTAATAGTTCCCTCTATGAAACTCAACAAGTTTTACCCATCGGTAATTTCTGAAATCCACTTTTTCTTTCTCCTTTCTGGAATGTTGGATCTACATATTTTATCCCCTTTATTGATTCTTTTAGAATACCAACAATGATTTTGCCTCCACAATGGTATATGCTTTCAAAATCTTATGATATAATGATTTAAAAATAGAAATACTTGAACTCATTGAATGTCTTCATTGTCAGTTCTAACTTATGTTGGGCTCACATTTCTACTGAATTATTTCTGTCCCTGGCATCTTAAAGGTTGTTCTCATTCATCAGTAATGTGGATACAGACAGCTTTATCTCAGAATCTGTCCTAATATTAGGCCATCTGTCTTATATAATGGACACACGTGCATGTGTGCCAAGTCACTTCAGTCATGTCTGACTCTTTGTGACCTTATGGACTGTACCCTTCCAGGCTCCTCTGTCCGTGGCATTATCCAGGCAAGAATACTGGAGTGGGTTGTCTTGCCCTCCTCCAGAGGATCTTCCTGACCCAAGGATTGAACTCGCATCTCTCATGTATCCCCATTGGCAGCCTGGTTCTTTACTGCTGGTGCCTCCTGGGAAGCCCATAAAATGGACATATTTCAACATAACTTTTCTTCCTGCTCTGAGCAAAGATACATCTAACTTATATATATATATCATATATATATATATAAGTCATATATATGATATATATATATATATGTCACATATATATGATATATATGATAAATATCATTCTTAATTCATTCTCATTTTTAGTGTTCCCAATACAATGATTTCAATTCAGATTCTGTCTTAAACTTCTTTAAGATAGGGACAGTGTCTTGATAAACTTTACATTTCCACAGTTCATAGTCCAGTGGCATAAAGCAGAAATTCAAAAAACATTAAAGTTAGGAGAAAGGTCCAAAGAGCATCACTATTCTTTTAATATCTTATTCTTTTTAAAAAAAAATCTTCTTTGAAATTGTTAGAATTTTAAAAGCTTTTGTTATTTTTGAGCCATTCTCCCTTTAGATATCTATTTATGCAATCATTCTTGTATTTCTTCAAATTTGTTTGAAATTTGCTTTCTTATTATTTTAGGTAGTATGTATTATACCATCTTTAAAATGTCTTTTTTTTGACATAAAATTCCAGTCTGATAGTTACATCTTCCAGTTTTCCATCATTAATACTTCTTATTTTTCATAATTTACTATATTTGAATAGCTCCCAATATTACTTTATTAAATTGAAGAGATAAAATTGTTAGTGAGAAAATTCAAATGTATTGTTGACTTTGCTCTTTGCAGAATACAGCTGCTAGCTGATTCCTAAATAGTTGATGCACTTCATCACTACTAATTTCACACTTTGTCCCTTTACTTTAAAAAAAGATAAGGAACAATCTGGTTTTTCAGTCACTCAGTCGTGTCCAACTCTGGTGTTTCTATAGTACCAATTATTTAGAACAACTTCTTAAAGTCAGAGAAATAAAAAGTAGTTTCATGATATAGCTGCTGAAGTAAATCTTATTTTTCTCCCCATCTCAGGGGCATAATCAATCCGTTTCCAGCTTCAAAAGGAATCAGAACTTCTCCACTTCAGTGCGTTCATATAGCTGAAGGGCATACAAAAGCTGTGCTCTGTGTGGATTCTACTGATGATCTTCTTTTCACTGGATCAAAAGGTGCTAATAGTTGTGTCATGTGAATATTTAACAGATCTTTTTAATGATTACATTTTAACAGGTTTTGAAAAATGTCAAACTGCTTAAGACTCATAAGAATCTGAAAGATAATGTTGTTCAACTGCTGAACTATATAAAATATAAAATAATTGCATAGTTGAGAAGAAAGTAAAATCTCTGTTGATGTTACGTGAATAGAATGATGAAGGAATACATCTCAGTTTGCTAATTGAGCACCTAATGTATGCGAAGCCCTGAGCTTAGTAACACAGGCTATGTAAAAATCCATAAAAGGCCATTACAATGTACAGTGTGGTAAAAGAATAAGATGGGTAGCAACCACCATTTCTTGAGCCCTTAATAAGTGTCTGAAACTATACTAGCCACTATGAAAATTTTACCTCATTTAATTCTCACAACAACGCCAATGTTGCATCCTCATTTTATAGATCAAGAAGCTGAAGATTCCAGGAATTAAATGATTTTTCCAGATAAGCTTAACTAGTAAGTGGAAGAGCCAGGATGAAAAACTTAGGTCTGCGCATCATCAAACCTGCACTTGGAGGCAACTAGAAATTAACTATAAATGATTTGAAGAGTTATACATGAATATTTGGGGTTTCAGAAGAGAAAGAGATTTTGCTAAAATGTGAAAAATAAGGAAGGCTTTGATGAGGAGGCACTTAGGATGAACCTTACTGGATTGTTTGGATATTGGCAAATAAAAATTGGCAACCAAGATTAGAGAGCAGTGTAAGCAGAGACATGAAGGTAGAAGTGGTTTTGGAAACTAAATCCAGTTGGCTTGAAAAGTAGAATATATGTAGAAGTGGTGGATAATGAGACTGGAAAGATGAGAAGGAAGCGTGTGTAGGAATTTGGGAAGCTAGTTAAAGTCTTTTAGCATTTAAGGATATTAAAAGATAAAGGGAAGAATCTTGCCAGCACTTGTAAATTTTACAATAGCAAGCAATTCCCCAATTAAAAAAAAATTTGCTCTGTAAAAGTATTAATTTTCTAGTAAATTAAATTTATTTCTCCAGGATAATTAGATACTTATATCAGAAAGGCAAAGTATTGAATAGAATAGTTTTATGATCAAGTTTATGATTATGTTAATGAAGTCAATTAGTGACCTCTGGAAAAGAAATGTGTATGTAGTTCTGCATGTGGAGTGTTGTGAGTAGGTAAGCAATTATCAAAACCAAATGTTTTGAAGAGGCTGGTTTGGGATGGCCATTTTAAATTCAGGGGCAATTTGAAATAAGACTATCAATATGTCTATTTTAAAATTTTGTATAATTATTCTTTAATACCACTTGATACATACACCAGATATCCTAGCTTTCATCTAATCCTTTATACCTACTTTGCCCTTGAACCTGCTGCAAAGTGTCAAGGATAGAGTTAGGATGCTATTGTAAGTTAATTAAATAATTACCATTTTCTTATCTCATTTTTTTCTCATAGGAGAGAAATTGTTATTGCTAAGAGAATCTAATTTAGTTCTTATTGACAATATTTCCTCTTTTTTATTTGCTTTTAGATCGTACATGTAAAGTATGGAATCTGGTGACTGGGCAGGAGATAATGTCACTGGGAGGTCATCCCAACAATGTAGTATCTGTAAAATATTGTAATTACACAAGCTTGGTCTTCACTGTGTCAACATCTTATATTAAGGTGTGGGATATCAGAGATTCAGCAAAGTGTGTTCGAACGCTAACGTAAGTAACTTAGAGACAAGTAGCATAAGGGGCAAATAGTTCTTCTTTACAAGATATAAGAAAAGATAGGTCTATATATGCATTTTTGTTTATTTATACCTGTCCACTTGCAAAAAATATTAAAATGTTTACAATAAGAATGTATATAACATAAGGTAAAAAAATACTGAGAAAATAAAATACAATAGGTCAATATTAAACAGAAAAGGAGAATTCATATTTAATCTACAATTCAATACACATTTCATAGTTCCTTCCTCCCCAAAACTAAGGAGTTGAATTTTCATTATTACTTGATGTAGTAAAATGATTTACTTACTTGCTTCAAATGAATGCCTCTCCTTGGAAAATGGCTGAAATCACCATCATAGACCATTAAGAAGTATTTGCAAAATTCAGTTAGCATCTATTGAATAACTGAATAATTGAGGAATGTTTTTCTTAAGACTTACACTGCTTTGATATTAACCTGTGTTTCATAACTGTAGATTGGACAACTGGAGAATGAATTTGTTTCCTGCATCTGTTATTATATATGTCTTTAAAACATAGAACAAATAATGATTCCTTTTCCCATAAGATTGATGAACTGTTTCACATAATTACAATTTTAATTAAAAGATGAATTCTATTGGTTTAAATAAGAGAAAGGAGCATAAAGGTGGTTAATTTTTACTAATTTGTAGAGTGAAGATTATTAACACTTAAGTGCTATTTTATATGTTGAGACTACTAATTATTTACTGTGCTGAATACAGGTCTCTTGAGGGAAATTTTATAGGAAAAAACACTATCTTAGAAATTTACCAATCCGGTTGACTCATTAAAATCATTTGAAAATGTTGATTGTAACTTAATTTTTTTGGAAGTTAGCTAATAAAATGATTCAAAATTGAAAAATATATTTGCTATTTAGAATTTAACTGAGGAAATAAATCATGTTTAAGTCTTTTCCACATAGTAAGCAATCCATATATGATTGGGTTAAAATATACAAAAACCTTTACTCAAAGGGTCATATCTTATATATGGAGAAACATTGGTTTGTTCTTCAGTGGATTTCTGCAAGCTGCAGGAAAATGAGTTAGCTTTGTGGCACTGTCTCATCTGTTGAGCCTGGCGGGCTACAATCTGTGGGGTCACAGAGTCGGACACAACTGAACGACTGAGCACATGCACACATCATTTGTTGAGTTTTGTTATCTTTGTCATCTAGTCTTTTCTGAATCACATTTAAGTCATCTCTAATGGGGCCCAAAGCCTGGGTACCCACGTGGCTTTGTGGTAAAGAGCCTGCCTTTCAGTGCAGGAGATGCAGGAGACATGGGTTCAATCCCTGGGTTGGGGAAGATCCCCTGGAGTAGGAAATGGCAACCCTCTCCAATATTCTTGCCTGGAAAATTCCCTGGACAGAGGAACCTGGCGAGCTACTGTCCATGGGATAGCAAAGAGTCAGACATGCCTGAACATGGCCCAGTGACTAATAGAGCCCCAAACTCCTAGTGTTATGACTTGCAAAGTAAGAGTCTTAAGCCATGCCATCTTATTTTCTTCATTCGTTTTTTCATTTATCTGTGAAAGTATTCATTTATTAGTGTCACCTATGTGCCTGTGAAGTTCTGTGCTAGGTGTAGTGCAGACAGTGACCAAACAATACAGATATTGCCTACAGCCAGTCTCCTGCAAATTTAAGGAATTCTATGACTAACTCTTGTCCAGAATTGTGACTTACTTTGTTTTGTCTCTGTTAAGGTCTTCAGGTCAGGTTACTCTTGGAGATGCTTGTTCTGCAAGTACTAGCCGAACAGTTGCTATTCCTTCGGGGGAAAACCAGATCAATCAAATTTCACTAAACCCAACTGGGACTTTCCTCTATGCAGCCTCTGGAAATGCTGTCAGAATGTGGGATCTTAAAAGGTAAAATTTTAAAGAAAATGTACTTCCTGTATATGGCAAATGTAATTTTCACACATTAATATTAGTGCCGGTGCAATCTAATTTATATAACCCCAGAAGTTAATATAAAATCCTAGATTTTTCTGTTTGATTCAGCACCCCTAAATGTCTTGTCTATCCTCATTAGCCCACTAAAAATTTTCCTTTCTTTTAATCTCCATTGCTGGGGAAAAAAGTATATGAGAGAAAATAGACTTTATTAATACTTGTCTGTAAGTTGTATTGTTTACTAGGAAGACTGTAAAGACTGGGTTGTATTGTTTACAACTCATGCTAGTTGCATCAGTACCTTTGAAAGAATTATTTTTTGGTAACATCACTTATGCATTTTATATTTCAAAATTTTCAGTTTATAAACCTTATAAGTTTGATCATAAGTCTTCACAGGATTTTTATGAATATAAAATTGTATATGTATATATGATGAAGTATTAAGAAGATAAAGTAAGTAAAAAGAGAATATCATGCATTACATCTTTGATTTGATTTTTATTTGCCATGAAGTAGGAGTTTTCATCCTTCATTTGAGTGTTTATTTTAGATTCTTTTCTAGTTCTTAAAATGTTGGCAGCAAGGGAATATTTATTTATTAGTTAACAAATATTTACTCAGCATCAACTGTGGCAGGCATTATACCAACACTATGGTAGGTACTGGAGATATAGATTATGCAAGACAAATTTGATGTCCACCTTCTTAGAACTCATCTTATAATGGAGAGTAAAAGCCACAAAATAGGCAATTACAAGATTCTGAGTAAAGTTGGTAATTCAGGTAATAATCCCATGTAGAAGGGTTTTGTCAGTGATAAATCAAAGGGAAATTTATTTTAGAAATTTTGAGGGTAACTATTTATTACTTGTAACTTTGGCCACCTGATGAGAAAAGCTGACTCATTTGAAAAGACCCTGATGCTGGGAAAGATTGAGGGCAGGAGGAGAAGGGGACAAAAGAGGATGAGATGGTTGGATGGCATCACCGACTCAATGGACATGGGTTTGGGTGGACTCCAGGAGTTAGTGATGGACAGGGAGGCCTGGTGTGCTGCAGTTTATGGGCTCACAAAGAGGTGGACACGACTGAGCAACTGAAATGAACTGAACTGAACATTTTAATGGTTGGCTGAAAAAGTATAATAAGCATAACTTATAGATAAATAAATGAGAACAGAAAGAAGAAACACAGTCATGAGTACCATTTTAGAAATAAGAAGTAGAAAGTTGAAAACAGTGTTTGTTTAAGAAAATTTGGAATGTGATGAGAACTGGGTTTACTCTTTAAGATATTAAACTTGACTTGTATTCAGAGTACCATGGAGGATGATACTCAACATCATGACATGAGGCAGAAAAGATACCAGCTTCTAAAAATTTTTACACTTTCTTATCTGCTGAAAAGTTAGATCCTTTGAAACTTGCTTGATTTCAGCAACATAATTAAATGCAGATTCATCTTAATAAATTAACTGTAAAAAAGAGTTACAAGAAATAGTAATATTCTAGAAGCCAAATATATCTCTGTATTCCAGCAGCTTGATTTGAGGTAGGATTATGAAGCAAAGGTTTATTGCCACCTCCTGACAATGGACATCACATGTTTTTCTGCCAGTTGTATATATTCCTGGCCATTTTTATATCTTTGTAATAACTGATGAAATGGACTATATTTTCTGATGTACACATATGTGCATATGTGTATGTATATAATGCATGTGTACATATATGTGTATATATGAAAATATGTGTGTGTAATAAAATAATCTTACTTTCTCCAAATTTTTATTTTCTAATTATATCAGTGACATAGTTGTTTTAGTCAAATTTAAAACTGACCCTAATAAATCAATCATATGTCTATAATAGGTTGAGACATTTAACAGATTAAGGTTTATCTGGACTTAGGTTGGAGTTAAAATTAGCCCTAGGCAAGTTTTTGGACTTTTGATGCTTTTTTGCTATCTGAATGACATCAGTCACTTTGGAATAACTTATTTAGGATTCCTAAACTTCCATCAGAGAATCAATTAATTTGGCTATTTTTTTACTCTTAATTTGAGGAGAGTTGCATAGAGGTGGAGTTAAATCAAAAAAGAACAGTTTTAGCAAAGACTGTTATTTTTGTTGAGACTTAGCCTCAGCATACTAAGAAATATTTTCAAACAAAATTGTTTTTCTTTCTTTTTAAAGGTTTCAGTCCACAGGAAAGTTGACAGGACATCTAGGCCCTGTTATGTGTCTTACTGTGGATCAGATTTCTAATGGACAAGATCTAATCATCACTGGCTCCAAGGATCATTACATCAAAGTGTGTATAATAAAGCTATTGAATTCTATTCTCCTATTAAATGATAAGTTTGAAGTATTCAGATGTACCTAGGATGCTTTTCTCTTAATCAGTTCTTTTTTCTCGTTTCTAGCCTGTTACTTTTTTTCCTGATCTTTTCCTCACTCAGTTCCTGATTTTGTTGTCTTATTTGAAAATATATTCTCACTTTTTCATAGAGGATATGTTGGGAGGGATTTTAAAGACTTTTTTACTTCAGTCATCCAACTAATGCTTACATTTCATCATCACCATCTTTTATACTGGGCATGTTTGTTTCTTCATATTTGTATATTACATGTTTGTATACATAAAGTATACTTCATGTTTGTTTTACACAAGTAGCAGATAAGATGAGGAGAGATGAAAAGTTTGATTCTGGAGATGTTAAATTTGAAATACTAATAGAGGACCTCTTCATGTAAGCCAATATGACATTTGAAAGGCAAGTACAAAGTCCAAGATAAGTTATGACTAGACATATATGTTTCAGAACCATTCATATAGAAGCAGATGTTTAAGGAGTAGTTGATATGGCCAAAGGAGAGAGGTTGATATGACTTAGCCTTGGGGAATCCTGTAAGGACCAAAAGGAACAAAAAGAGAATATAGTAATAAAGAGAGACAGAGTGTAAGTGATCTTTTTTTAGAAACTTTTGTTAGGAGATGAGAAGTGGGTTTGACTTGAAAATAGAATGGTTAATGCAAGAGGATTTTGTATTGGTAGGCTTGAGCATGTTTATATGGTTAGAAAATGGACTTAATGGAGAGGGAAAGTGTGAAGAGTGAAGTAGTAGCAATTGGTGAATCAGATCAAAAAAAGAATCTGATCAGATCGAAGATGTGAACCTTGAGAAAAAGTAAGTACACTTTAGTATCTTGGAAAGAAGGGAAGAGTAAGAGAATGTTTGAGAATAAAAGGGAACTTTTGTAACTGAGGGGGAAGGGTGGTCCAGAAAGTCTATTTTTGGTTATACTAGACTTTTTAGGAACTCACAAGTTCAGTAGTTAAGAGAAATGAGGGCAACTGAGGGGACTGAAATTGAGTAGCAGCTTTGGAGAATTTGTGATGACCACCAGGATTGCAGAGCTGCCTGATTGTGTTTAAATAACAAGCATATCATTATATGTAACTTTTTTATTATTTAACATATCATTTGTACACTTATACATGAAAAAATTGCTTGTCTTTCTTATGAGCTTACAAACATGTAAGCATGTAACATGTGAAAATTAGGACTCAGGTTTATCCTGAGTCACTCGAAGCAAGTTATTTTTGTTAATATTTTTGTTAGTAAAATATCGTAACAAAACAAGTCACATTTGGTTAATATACGTGTGTACATGTTTCTATGAGTGAATGCCTAAGGTGCTTATTTGTACGTTAAATAGGATGACTACTTTAATTTTGCTTTTATTTAGATGTTTGATGTAACTGAAGGGGCCCTTGGAACTGTGAGTCCCACCCACAATTTTGAGCCCCCTCATTATGATGGCATTGAAGCATTAACCATACATGGGGATAACCTATTTAGTGGGTCCAGAGATAATGGAATCAAGAAATGGGATTTAGCTCAAAAAGATCTTCTACAGGTAATTCAAAACCTTTTCATGGGATGGAGTGGGTACTTCAAAGTCATCAGTATTCTAATAAGAACACGAAGAGTCTCTATGTAGATTTTCATCCTTTAAGGATGGTATCAATCAGGGCTTTCTCTTAAAGAGTGTCTCATTATTACCTACCAGAGTTAGTAATTATGAAAAGGGCAACATTAGACATTTAATGATATCTCATAGATAAGAGAGGATAGACTCTGATAAAAATTGGAAGCTCTGGGATTGCCCTGTGCATGTGTTTACTAAATACAGGTGGAGTGAAGAAGTCAGTTTCTCATTTTGTTTTGTTTTTATGTACACATATTCCAAGGGTTTTCCTGGTGGCTCAGATGGTAAAGAATCTGCCTGCAATGCAGGAGACCCAAGTTTGATCCCTGAATTGTGAAGATCCCTTGGAGAAGGGACTGACAACCCACACCAGTATTCTTGCCTGGAGAATTCCACGGACGGAGGAGCCTGATGGGCTACTGTCCATGGGATAGCGAAGAGTCAGACATGACTGAGCAACTAATACTTTGAATACTTCCACACATATTCCACATAGTATCAAGTTTTGCTAGGGTCAAAGCAGTCTAAATGATTCTTCATCTCATTTTCATACATCCAAGAATGGTGGTTCTCTCATTTCCTATAGAATGATAGCTGGGTTGAAGTGTTTTGTCAGTATAATCAAATATCAGTAGCTTTTCCTAATTCCCAGAGGAATTGTTCTCAATTTCAGGCTTTTTCTTATAAATGTATGAGTGTGTATGTATGTATCGCAATTGCTCACACTTTTCTGCTTACAATCAGGCGGAAAAAAAAAAAATTGAGATACATTTTCTAGAAAGGTGAGATATTTACTCCTTTGAAGAGGAAGTGATGTTTGAAAAATTCAGTATACTTTCCATGTGTTTTAGATTCTATAGATTTTTTTTAACATTGTAGGCCTTCAGTACTGATAACACTGATGATAACTAGTGAATTAAATTGAGGGGCAAATTACAGATTTATCTGTTTAAATCACTAAGAGTGACTCCATAGGAAATAATTTTTATGGTTTCCAGACCAATTCAGTGTTTCAAGATTTGAATTTGTCAATAAAAACTTTGGTAACTTATTTTGGTGTGGAAATGTCAGTTTGAAAGGCTTCCCTTAAGCTGCTAATTTTTCTTTCTTCTCTCAGCAAGTTCCAAATGCACATAAGGATTGGGTCTGTGCCCTGGAAGTGGTGCCAGGCCACCCACTTTTGCTCAGTGGCTGCAGAGGGGGCATTCTGAAGCTCTGGAACATCGATACCTTTGTGCCAGCTGGCGAGATGAGAGGTCATGAGAGTCCTATCAATGCCATCTGTGCTAATTCCACCCACATTTTTACTGCAGCGGAGTAAGTTTCTCCTGTTGGGTACTTGTGTTCAGATTCAATAAAGACTATAGGTTGTAAATATTTGGAAATGTAGAACATATGAAGTCTTTCTTTTATTACAGCTATTCCAATGTCTATTCGTGATGTCTTATTTATATTTTCTGAGATGCGCTGTGGTCACCGAGTTTGGGCTCCCCAGGTTATATGATAATAGCGTTACTGCTGTATCAGCTCTCTGCTTCCACTAGGAAGTCCGCTACCAGATCTTCCTGTAGCAGTTTTAATTTTTAAAAAATCTTTCAGAAGCGATTCATTTCTAAATTGTCTTCCCAGAAAAGGCAGCAAACTTGCCTCATTCTTCACATTCAGACTAAATCATAAAAAAAAAAAACTCTTTTATGCCTCTTCCACCTCCTTTAAGGTCTAAGTACATAGTAATAATGTATACTCCCTCCCTTTTAGAATGGCTGAATTGATTAATTTATTTGCTCATTTGCTTATTCATTATGAATCTCCTGTGTGCCAGGCACTGTTCCAGAATCTTAGGAATAGAGAATTGAACAAAACAGATATAAATCCTAATTTCATTGTAAGGAGAAGAAAAGAAAATGAATAAGTAAAATATGTTACATGGTAAGAGATCTATGTAGAAAAAGAAAGCAGGGAAGGGAGATGAGAGTGTCACTGGGGAACAGGGGTTCCAATAGAGTGGACAGTGAAGATCTTACTTTCTCAGTGACATATAGGAAGATGCTTGAAGAAGGTGTAGAGGTGTGACTATAAAAATGACATCATATGTATTATATCATAATACATTATGCATAAGTACTTTTGGAAAGGAAATCATGTGCTATAATATATATATATAATGTGAGGTGTTCATCTCATTCAAATAAAATGCAATTTTTCATGAAAATCTCCTTATGTCATTTGTGTACCGATTATGTTACTTTATTTATTGAGCCATTTCTTGATTCATCTGTCCTAAATACACAATTATCCTGATTTTATTTTGAAACTTCTGCTAAATTTCTGTGGTGTCTCTTTTTATTTGTGCTGTTTCCCCTGAATCCCTTGTCTCATTTAAATTTACTTTATCTCATCTCTAAAATATATCAGAGCAGATTTCTTTTGTGTTTTTCTAAGATGCTTACCTTAAATGCTTCATTGATGCTATTTCTGAGATACATTACTTTCTTAAGTTTCATCACTTTTATTTATTCCCTTAAAAGCTTGTTTTGTCCTTGACAATTCGTGGGAAATAATACCCCTCATAGCTGTGGGACACTATAAAATTGTTATGACTTACTGAGGTCTGATCACTGAGGTATGATGTAATATTTTTCTTCCATGATACAGTTTTATTTTTGAGAAACTAAAAATGTCCTCACTTTACCCATGGTGCATCAGATGCAGATGTATTTATTTACCATGTAACATAAAATCAGGAAAATAACCAATAAAATTAGAAGGCCTATTTTCAAATTAGTTCTATTTATTCATTACCTAACAAACCTTTATATAGGACTTAGTATCTACCAGACATTGTTCTAAGTGTTTTCAGGCATTAACTCACTTAATCTTCATAAGAACTCTAGAAAATGAGTATTATTGTAATCCCTATTTTATAGGTGGGAAAACTGAGGTACTTTATAATTCACAGTCCTTGTATAAGTGATTCTGTCATATATGATTTCTGGATCTGTTGCATTGATTGATTTTTCTTATGATTATAGGTCTTATTTTTTCTGTTTTTTTTTTTCCATTTATTTTTATTAGTTGGAGGCTAATTACTTTACATCATTACAGTAGTTTTTTGAATGGATGAGGAAGCTGTGGTACATATACACCATGGAATATTACTCAGCCATTTTTTCTGATTTTATGTCATGTAATATTTTATTGAATCTTGAACATTGTAGTGTTGTGTTTTGAGTATCTGGATTTTGTTTTATTCCTTTAAAGACAGTTAGGTTTTATTTAAAGTTATGTGAGTTACTTGTGGTTCAGCTCATCTTTTTGAGACTTCAACTCTGGGGTTTTTACTGAATGTCTTGAATGTTTGATGCTATTCTCTACTTTACTGGTCAGAACTTGACTCACAGCTGTGTTTTGGTCTGGCTGTAGAGTCTGACTTGACTCCTGTGCAGCTTAACCTTCAGTCAAAGACCTTAGGGGACCCCTTTGTATGTAGATCGATGGAATGTTTTTCCCTGTAACTCCATAGTCCTTTTTGCATAGCTCTCCCCTCTTCTCTGTTTGGTTTTACAAATTACAGCTATTTCACACTTCCCAGATTTTTATTTCTTTTCAACTCTAATTCTGAGGTCTTCTGTTTATTTCCCCTCTTCCTTGCTTAGTGGCAGCAAGTGCTTCCAAACCGAAAGCCAGGGCTGTCACAGAGCTCACCTTCTCTTGTTTCCCTTTTCTCAGGAATTATAGGCCTAAAGTACCCATCCCCCAGTTTCTGAAAATGGTTGTTCCATGTATTTCGTCAAGTTTTCACTTTGTGTTAACTCACAGGAGCATTAACCTGGCACAAGTTACTCTAACATGACTAGTAGTGGAAGTTTGCTCATCTTAGATTTTGTATGTCCAAAGCTGAACTCCCAGCCTTCCTAAGAAAGCTGCTCATCCTATGCCCTTCTCCATGTCAGCTGATGGCGTCTCTTTTTTTTTTTTCTGTTGCTCAGTTCATTCCTCCCTTTCTTTCATACATATCCAATTCATAAGCAAACTATGTTGGTATTCTACCTTTACATTGCATCTAGAATCTGACTACTTCTCACCCTGCCTTTTGTTACCTCACTGACCCTAGATGTGCTCTTGGATTATTACTACAATAGCCTCCTAAACAGGGTCCCTTGCCCATATGTAGCCTATTCTCAAACAGATACCAGAGTAATTTTTTTAAATTTTTAAAAATTATGATCATCTTGTTCTTTCTCTGCTCAAAAACTTGTGTTGGTCATCCATTTTACCTAAAGTAGAGGCTGTACCTGATATAAACCCTTTGAGCATTTGTTCTCTCTCGTCTTAACCTTCTAATACCCTCTAGCATGCGCCTTTTCTTATAGCACTGATAATATCTTTGCTGGTCTTGAACATAGCAGGCTTACTCCAGCCTTAAGAGATTTGCCCGAAGTGCCTTCAGAGATCATGATCTTCTAACATCTTTCTTTCTCAGTAAGAATAACCCTGTGATTTTATTTAAAATTGTAATCTTTCTTATCACCTACCACTCCTGATCCTGATCCCCTTTGCCATACTCTAATTTTTCTGACACATTTATTACTTTCCAATAAAGTATATAATTTTTTTCATGTTTTATTGTCTGTCTCTTTTTGCTTGAATATATGATCTACAAAGGCATAGGATTCTGCTATTCATTTATTTTTAATTGATCCCAAACCTATAGAATAATGCCTGGGACACTGCAAGTTCCCAATAAACATTTGTTGAGTGGATGGTTGAATGAATAAATGGAATGGATAAATGGGTAGACAAGTGAACATAACCCCTTGCTGTTTTCAATTATCTGTGCTGTGTGGGCTGGTGAAAGATTATTATTTTCCCCCAGTTTTATTGAGATATAATTGACATAATAACACAGTTTAAGTTTAAGGTATAACAGTATAATGACTTGATTTACACATATAATGAAATGATTACTGTGGTAAGCTTAGTTAATATCATTATTTCATGTAAATTTAAAAAATAGAAAAAATGTGATTTTTCCCCCCCATGTGGTAAGAATTAGGGATGAGAAAATTATTGATTACAAACTAGAAAGCCTGGATTCTAGGCTCAACTCTGTCTTCTGCAATACTACAATGACAAGTCACTAAACCTTCTACATCCTCAAAATATGCTACATAATCTTTGAAATGCTTTTAAACTCTACAGTTTTGTGGCAACTCTTTCTTTTGGCTTTGGGCTTATTAAAAATTGGAGAAAAGCAACACTGTCTTTCTAGAGCTAGGAGAAATATAACTGTCTAATGACTAGTACCCAGAAGCCACATGTTAGGTGAATAAAAGTTAAGTCTTCTCAGAAATGCATTGAATCATCTATGTTCTATGATAAGTAGAGTGTTTGCCTAATTCCTAGTAGCTTATGCTGATTTCACCTGAACGTGATTCTTCCTGAATATTGACAGATTCACCAACCCTCTGGAATCCCTGCCCTGGCCTCCTCACTGTGCTCTTACTCTGGGCTCTTCTGCCTGAGACCTCTGACCATGTATACTGACTGGATCAATGTAGCTTCAATGTAGCCTCTGCAGGTTTCAGATCCTGACGCTTTCACTTAGTTTGTGATCTTGGGCAGATTTTTATTTTTTTGGCTGCACTGTGCAGCATACATAGCGGAAGGGTGAAGTCTTAACTACTGGACCCCCAGGGAAGCTTGATCTCAGGCAAATTAGTTAACTTCTTTGGACCCCAATTTGCTCATCATAAATAGGGTATAATGGCATTATCTGTATCTTATGGTAGGTAAAGAGAATAAAATGAGTTAATGTGTGTGAGGGGAACATAGTAACAACACCTGGCACATAGTAACCCTTTGATAATATAAACTTTTTAATTTCATTATTATGGGTACCTATTTGATATACCTATGGGAAAATGTATTTTTATCTGTATCTATTAAAGACCTTTTCTGTAAATGTTTCTTGATAAGTATTTCTAAGAACTGTGTCTTTCCATCTGTTTTCACATGTTCATTTTTAATTTATTATTTTGTAGTGATCGAACTGTGAGAATTTGGAAGACTCGAAATTTGCAAGATGGTCAAATCTCTGACACAGGAGATTTGGGGGAAGATATTGCCAGTAACTAAACATGAATGAAGATAGTCAGAAACTGAATACTGTGATAATACTTTATCGTCTTTATGGAAAATGTTGTCCTGCATTTATTAGGCAAAAACTTGTGAATGGAGTTAACTGGAAAATATATATGAATCCAACTACTGAATATAAATGGTATTCTAAAAAAATTGTGTACTCTATGTGCTAAATTTTAATATCTACCAATGCATATATAACCTATAATTGATACACTGCTTGATTCACACTTTTATTGTGGCTGGATTTTTGTGCCTATCTATAAAGAACATCTTCAAATTATCTGAAATGCAAAATGTCTGCTTTTGTGACAGAAAATACACTTAGAATACAATGCCACCCACTGTTATCTCATTCATATAGTCTGTTCGGCTGATTTACATATTTGAAGCATATGGGAATGTTAGTCAAACATTGGTTTGTCTGGTATTTATGTCAGTCTACAGAGGGTTCCCAAATTTAAAAGCTCTTTTAATGTAACGAAAAAGATGTGAGAATATTATTGATGGTGATTTTTCATAAAATGGATTTGACTTTAATCTACTAACAAAGAATGTTAAACAGATTGTGTTAGATGTTGACATTTACTTGTATTGACCAAAGTTTTGCAGTGCTATTTTGTGTGCTCAGGACTAAAATGCTGTTAAATTATTTTATTAGTGCTGTGCATACATTCTGTGATGGGAAACATTTTTGATGTCCTAACAGAAATATATTTCGATCTATTTTCCTATGGAGTTGTTTCTATTATCCACCTTTCCGTTTCATTTTTATTTAATAGTAGTATTTCTTTCCCTTTTAATCTAATTTTTATATGCTGCTAAATATATTTTAATTATACTGTGTTTGCAAACCTTGGTAGCTATGATGAGAACCTTATCATCTGCAGTGGGAAAAGCTATGTAAATAGGTAGACTGTAAAGAGAGAATGTCTTATGTTGTAACTATGAATTTTAAATGCTGTAGATTGGATTTTACAAAAGGATGTATAATTTATGCCTGCTCAGAATATTAATTTGTAAATTCTGCAAGTTTAATTTTTATGTGAGTGACATGACACTTGAAAATATTGTCCTGTGATCTTTTCCCCAAAAAATATTTGCTTGTAAATGAAAGCTTTGCTAGGGCTTAAATAAACATGTTGCTATGAATAATTTTTATTCTTTTGTTCTTTTCCTAATAGCATGAAAATGGGCAGTGTTTATAAAAGTTTATTTTATCTGTGTGATTTAAGGAAAGGCATCTTTTTGCTATCCAGCATTAACATACATTCCTTTTTTGTTGCTGTTGTTCACTATTAAAGAATCCGCCTGAAGTGCAGGAGACCCAGGTTTGATCCTTGGGTCAGGAAGATCCCCTGGAGAAGGGAATGGTTACCCGCTCCAGTGTTCTTGCCTGGAGAATTCCATGGACAGAGGAGCCTCGTGGGCTACAGTCCATGCGGTCACAAAGTGTCAGACATGACTGAATGACTAACACACACAAGACATGAAATATTCTCGAAAAGTGTAAACCATAACCTAATCTGGAGGAACCAAGGAAACTGACTGTTTAAAGGAATTAAACTATATAGTTCAGGGACTTGAACATAGATGATTAAACAAATAAAAAATATCCCGGTAATGATTAGGATAATAGCAACCTTGGTTACTTGGAGAGGAAATGCAAGGCAGGTATTGCGGGAGGTGAGCTGGGAGTGCAGAAGGATATGATGGTGGTGGTTGTTCAGTTGTTAAATTATGTCCAACTATTTAATGGGGAGCTACCCTCTACCAGTCACTTAACATCTTCAAATTATCTGAAATGCAAAATGTCTGCTTTTGTGACAGAAAATACACTTAGAATACAATGCCACCCACTGTTATCTCATTCATATAGTCTGTTCGGCTGATTTACATATTTGAAGCATATGGGAATGTTAGTCAAACATTGGTTTGTCTGGTATTTATGTCAGTCTACAGAGGGTTCCCAAATTTAAAAGCTCTTTTAATGTAACGAAAAAGATGTGAGAATATTATTGATGGTGATTTTTCATAAAATGGATTTGACTTTAATCTACTAACAAAGAATGTTAAACAGATTGTGTTAGATGTTGACATTTACTTGTATTGACCAAAGTTTTGCAGTGCTATTTTGTGTGCTCAGGACTAAAATGCTGTTAAATTATTTTATTAGTGCTGTGCATACATTCTGTGATGGGAAACATTTTTGATGTCCTAACAGAAATATATTTCGATCTATTTTCCTATGGAGTTGTTTCTATTATCCACCTTTCCGTTTCATTTTTATTTAATAGTAGTATTTCTTTCCCTTTTAATCTAATTTTTATATGCTGCTAAATATATTTTAATTATACTGTGTTTGCAAACCTTGGTAGCTATGATGAGAACCTTATCATCTGCAGTGGGAAAAGCTATGTAAATAGGTAGACTGTAAAGAGAGAATGTCTTATGTTGTAACTATGAATTTTAAATGCTGTAGATTGGATTTTACAAAAGGATGTATAATTTATGCCTGCTCAGAATATTAATTTGTAAATTCTGCAAGTTTAATTTTTATGTGAGTGACATGACACTTGAAAATATTGTCCTGTGATCTTTTCCCCAAAAAATATTTGCTTGTAAATGAAAGCTTTGCTAGGGCTTAAATAAACATGTTGCTATGAATAATTTTTATTCTTTTGTTCTTTTCCTAATAGCATGAAAATGGGCAGTGTTTATAAAAGTTTATTTTATCTGTGTGATTTAAGGAAAGGCATCTTTTTGCTATCCAGCATTAACATACATTCCTTTTTTGTTGCTGTTGTTCACTATTAAAGAATCCGCCTGAAGTGCAGGAGACCCAGGTTTGATCCTTGGGTCAGGAAGATCCCCTGGAGAAGGGAATGGTTACCCGCTCCAGTGTTCTTGCCTGGAGAATTCCATGGACAGAGGAGCCTCGTGGGCTACAGTCCATGCGGTCACAAAGTGTCAGACATGACTGAATGACTAACACACACAAGACGTGAAATATTCTCGAAAAGTGTAAACCATAACCTAATCTGGAGGAACCAAGGAAACTGACTGTTTAAAGGAATTAAACTATATAGTTCAGGGACTTGAACATAGATGATTAAACAAATAAAAAATATCCCGATAATGATTAGGATAATAGCAACCTTGGTTACTTGGAGAGGAAATGCAAGGCAGGTATTGCGGGAGGTGAGCTGGGAGTGCAGAAGGATATGATGGTGGTGGTTGTTCAGTTGTTGAATTATGTCCAACTATTTAATGGGGAGCTACCCTCTACCAGTCACTGCCTCTCTTACTTTTTAGTCATAGAAGTCGGGATTTTGGCTGAACACGTGGCTGTGCAGCCAGATTACATTTCCCCCTAACCTTGTAGTTCACCATGGCAATATACTAGGTTTCTGGCCATGTGATTCAATGGGGTGTGATACATGAAACGTCTGGTCTTAGTTTTAAAAAAAGAAGTGCTTGACATTTACTTTAACTGTACCCTTTGCAATGACTAGGATGTGGAAATTGTGGTAATGTACTAACCTTGACCATACAGATGAAGATGATATCCTGGGTGAGGGGTAGTAGAGCAATATGATAGAATAAATCTGAGTCCATGAGTGACCTTGTGGCACAGAGTTTCTTTCTTGTCTTGGAGCATCCGACAGCCTTTATGCTAGGGGTCAGCAAATTTTTTTCATTTCAGGTTTTGTAGGCCATATATTTCTCCTTTCATACATTTGATTTTTTGTTTATTATTTGTTTCCTTACCAGCCATTTAAATATGTAAAATTCTTAACTTGAGGACCATGCAAAAAGAGGTTGGGCACCAAATTTGGCTCATAGGCTATAATTTGCTAAACTGTTATATGAGAGAAAGATAACTTGTATCTTTTTTGAGTTACTGAATTTTAAGATCCTTTGTTAAGCAGTCCAACCAATAAGGCATATAGCTACATATACATGTAGCTACACATATAGCTACATAGAGCTTAAAAAAAATAGGCTCTAGAAAAGGTTTTTTGCACAGAGGGAGTGTCTCAGGGCTACCAAACAGAGTTGCACAGGTTGTGCACTGTACAACTAAAGAGATACCATTCACTTTTAGACATGATCAATTTATACATTTGTTAAAAGTTTAGAGTAGATGACATTAAGTCATTTGTTCTTAAAAGTAAAATAATACAATGATAATTTCAGCATATGGAAGAAAAACTATGTTACGAAAGGCATCTTTTTCTAATTTGAACAAGGGGTGCCTATGGCCTAGTGCACTTTAATGTCCACTCCTTGTTATGTAAGGCCACTAAAAAATAATGATTTTCTTTCCGTAAAAATTATTAGTAGCTCAGGAAACTCTGGCTTCATGTAATTTTTCATTAAAAATTCAAAATTTTAAGTACCATAATATTTTCTTTCACATACCTTCTTTAAAAATGTGATAAAAATAGCTGTTTGAATGGAAAGATTTGGGTGAGATTGCATGTTAATAGTTTATCTATGACTAGTAACCAATTGTTCTGTGAACAATTGAATTTTTTTATGAGAATTTTATCTAATACCGATTTTATGTTGTCTCTGGATCCCACGTGGCGGCATGGCAGCCACTGGGCAGGGTACTCTTGCTTCACTTGCTTTCTCTCGCCTCCACTAAGATGCTAAAAAGTCCGCACATGTGCACTTGGACACTGTATAACTTTTGTACTTGCTTGCCTCCTCCATGGATACCTAAAGGCCAAAAGGAAAGTGAAAACTGAGTATAAACACATAAAAGATCCTAAGCCTGGATCTAGTAGTTACCACTCTTTTTTTATTGCAGTTTAATTGAGATATAATTAACATTTAGCACTGTTTAAGTTTAAGATGTACAGCATAATGATTTGAGTTTTATATATCATGGAGTGGTTATGACAGTAAATTTAATGAACATCATCCATAATCTCGTATAGATACAAAATTAAACAAAAAAATTTTTTTCCTTGTGATGAGAACTTTTAGGATTTGCTGTCTTAACAATTTTCATACATAGCATATAACAGTTTTAACTATCTGTTGTATATTACATTCCTAGTCCTTATTTATAAGTGGAAGTTTGTATATTTTGTACAAACTTTATCCAATTTCCCCTCTCCCTAGCCTCACCTCTAATAATCACAAGTATGATCTCTTTTCTATTGTTTGTTTCATGGGGAATATAGTTGACCTACAACACTATGGGTATGCGCGTGCTAAGTTGCGTCAGTCGTGTCCAGCTCTTTGTGACCCCATGGACTGTAGAGTCTATCAGGCTCCTCTGTCCATGGAATTCTCCAGGCAAGAATATTGGAGCGGGTTGCCATGCCCTCCTCCAGGATATCTTCTAGACCCAGGGATCAAACCTGAGTCTCCTAAATATCCTGCATTGACAAGTGGATTTTTTACCACTAGCACCAGCAGGAAAGCCCTTACAATATTGTACTAGTTCCTATTACACAGTATAGTGATTTCATATTTCTATACACTTCAGAATGATCACCATATGTCTAGTTGCGATCTGTCATACCAAGATATTACATAATTATTGACTATATCCCCGTTATTATTTGAAATTTTAATTTCAAATTAATTTGAAATGTTAATTGTTAGTATTATTTGAAATTGATTTGAGATTGGAAGATTATACCCCTTATATCTCCATCACTTATTTCTTTCCTCCCTGATCCACCTGCCCTCTGGCAACTGCATTTTTGCTCTATATATCTGCAACTGTTTCTGATTTGTTTTGCTTGTTCATTTGTTTTGTTTTTTTAGGTCTCCCATATAAGCAAAATCATACAGTACTTGTTTTTCTCTGTTTGACTTATTTCTCTTAGCATAATACCTTCTAGGTCCACCGAAGTTCTTTCAAGTGGCAAGATTTCATTCTTTATTATGGCAAGTGTATATATATACACACACACACATATCATGTCTTCTTTACTCATTCATTTATCAATGGGCACTATGGTTGCTTTCATATCTTGGTTACTGTATATAGTGCTGCAACGAACACCAGTGAGCATGTATATTTTCCAATTAATATTTTCATTATCTAGATACATACCCAGTGGAATTGTGGCATGATATGGAAGTCTTATTTTTAATTTTTTGAGCCCCTTCCATACTATTTTCCATCG